TTCTTAGGGGAAGAGGGTTGAATATTTAGGGAGGATGTCCTTTTTGTAATGATCATGAGGAAATGTTAACCCATATGCTTGCTAAGTGCACCATTGTTAAATCTTGGTGGGCTTCATTTCATCACCCCGTTCAAATAAACTTCACTAATAACAACTCATAGGAAAAATGGCTCAAGTTTAACGCCACTAATAAAACTTGGTTGGCAGACAATTAAGCCCTTTGGAGTTATACATTTGTCTTTATGGTATGGGAAATCTGGAAGACTAGAAATAAGATCATTTTTTAAGGCAAACCATTAAAATCAAAAGTAACTGAATTGGCCTAGAACCATACTACTGAATATGCTGCCTTAGCTGGTGAATGAAGAGAGTCTTACTTTCCTCGAACATTATTGTCCAATGGAAACCACCAACCCAAGGCTAGTTTAAACTTAATATGGATGGCTTTTTGAAGGGTAATCTAAGCAAAACAGGGGGTGGGGCAATTATAAGAAACCACGAAGGGTTATAGATTAAGGGGATGGGCAAACACATTCTTAAAGCCATTAGCGTTGAAGCTGAATTATGGGTCCTATGTGATAGCCTAATCCTAGCAAAGAAAGAAGGAATAAGAATGCTAGAAATTGAGTTGGATGCGATGGTCGTGATCAATATGATTAACAATACTAGCATTACAAATTGGCATCTAAAAAATACTATTTAAATTTAATAATTCAAAATTATTAACTGAAAAATATTTAGCTTAGAATAGTTTTATGGTTAAGAGTTAAATTCATATTTTATTAAAAAAAATTTAAAAACTGATTACTTTCAAAAAGTAAATTAGCTTTTAAACAAAAATAAAAAAATAAATTTTATCAAAACAATATTTTTTATTTATTTAAAAAAAGAAAAAGAGAGAAGAAAGGAAAGAAAAAATAAAGAAGAAAAGAAGGAAAAAAATAAAGTAGGGAAAAAAAGAAAACAAGAAAAAATTAAAAAAAAAAGTTTTGGTTAACCAATTAAATAATGACACTTATTAACTTATTAAATGTTTAAGTCAAATTTTTAATATAAATTTTAGGAGTAAAATATGTAATTTATAATGAACTATTATATAATCTTATAAGATTAAAAATATATTTTTTAGAAGTTTTAATTATCCTATATGATCATTTTATTCTATCAATAATTGTATACTCTACACATGGGCTAAGAGCTTACAAATTTACATTTATCTAGAAATTGTTGATAGATTAATGGAAAATGATTTAAATAGCAAAAAATGTTCTTAGTGTTTCACTTGATATAAAATGAAAAGTCATAGTATAAAAGAACATAATGTCAAGACATGATGCAAATGTCAGTTAGTTTAGGTTTTGTTTAGTAACTTTTACATGTTCTCTTTTTTTTAGGTTTATTGCCACCATTTATGATCTACTAGGGAGTTAATCAAATAGTCATAAGATGTCATAAAATTTTTATTTGATTTCATTTTGTGCTAACTAAATCAAACATCTAAATACTTATTAATGAGTGAAAAATTTGTATATTTTACCAAAAAAAATAGTGAATAAAAGATTTCTACTATTTTCAAAGAATGAAATGTGATGTCGCCAAAAAAAAAATGTGTTTGATAAATCATTAAAATTTTAGATGATTTTATATTTTCAATGCATTTGATAAACTATTTTTAAAAGCCACTTAATTGAAGATTTTCAATGAAATAATATTGAAAATGCTAAGTAGATTTTAACTACTTAATGTGTTAATTCAATTTTATTTAAAGAAAAAATGCTATCTAATTGCATTAATTCCATATTCTTTCGTTTTAACATTTTATTATTTCTTTTTTAACTTTTATCAATTAAAAATAATTATAAAATAATATCTCTTTTTATAAAAGATTAATAAAATTTTTTTCTTAATATTTAATTTTCACTAGCATATCAAACAATTTTTATATCATAAATTCAATATTTAAAATTTTCAAAACTAAAAATTCAATACTTAATTTTCAAAGTTAAATTTGTTCAATTTATCAAACAACATCTAAATATGATGTAATCTAAATTCTTGTTGTGTTTAAGATGGTAAAATGATCTTTCACTTATTTTATTTATAGAAATCTTGGTCAAAAGTTATGATTTTTATTATGCTTTTTTTTTGCCAATAAAAAAAATCAAATTATGTTGATTAATCAATTAATTTATCTTTTTATTATATCATTGAATCCAAATATATCAAAACTCAATTGATGCCACTAACAATTCTTTATAAATGAAAGAATACTTTTAAAAGAAGTTTACAGCCTCTTTGGTTAGGGTGAATGGCAATTCCACTCCTCCTTGTTCAATGACGAATAGCTAAGCTAAGGTTTGGTTCATGGAATTAATTTTTAATGGAATAGACATTCAATGACTATTCCTCAAAAATAATGAAAAATCATTTCAAGCGTATACCTCAAAGTAGCTATTTTGTGCTTCACATAATAAGCATCAATATTTTTTAACCATTTTGCTCTTATATTTTTACTTAATTTCAATCTTATCCTAGTTTAGGAGAGAAAAAGTTTGCTATCACCACATGTCCATCATTGAAAACTTCATTGGAGATAAAATAACAAGAGTGTTGGGATTAACTTAAATCTTATAAGAGATTTGGATAGAGATTTATTTAAGATAGGATTAGTTAGATATTGCTTGATAGATACAAAAATTTGCAAGAGAAAATAAATTCTTGATAGACAAATTTGTATGTGTATAAATAGTGAAAGTCTCTATAAAATTAGGTATAAATATATATATATATATATATATATATAAGAGTTGTAAGATTTTATATGGTAAACACCTCATAAGACTCTTGGATATTGAGATATCCTTTATAGATGTGTATGTTTGAATGGATTAGAGAAGAATGAAAAGGGTCCATAAAAGTATGATAATTTTATGTTTGTTTGGATGAACTATAAGAGACTGAGATGGGCTACATATGGATAGATGCACATAAATATGTGTTTATTTTACAAACCAAAATTCATAATACTTATTCTATCTTATTCTATTTTCATATAATTCTTATTTCATTTCATTTTTTTATTTCATTCTACGAAGCAAACTAGTTGGTACATAAAAGAATAGTCAAATTATGTTTGAGGTTTTTATACTTTGCGAAAATTTAAAATTTAATTCTTGTACTATAATTCATATAAATTTAGTTCTCGTACTATTTTAATTTTATAATTTTAGTCCAATTACTAACTTCATTAATTTTTTATTATTAAAAATACTGACATGATCGTTGACTTGATGACATGGAGGTTGACTTTACTGATATGACATTAACTTAATGACATGACAACTTAAATGGATAAAATCAGTTATTAAATTATGTAAATAATCCTTATAATCATATAAAATTTGAAATTTAGTCTTATAGTCACATAAAATTTGAAATTTAGTCCCTGTATTCGTATGAAATTTGAAATATAATCCCTTTAATATAAAATATATTATGATTTTTTTAGCTTTTTAAAAATATTAAATTTTAAAAAATTTTAGTTCCTCTAATTCGAAAATATTTTTTGAAATATATTGGTTTTTATTATATAAAATTAATTATTAATAATATCGTATTAATAATATTATTATTATAATTTATATTAATTAATTATAATATTAATAATTTAAATTAATATGTCAAAGTTAATATTATTTTAATTAGTTTAAATATATTATATAACAAAATTTTATAATGAACTGAACTATTGAATAGAGTTGCATTTATAATGAATTCGATATAAAACATGAATGAAATGACCATTCTATCCAATTAAACAAAATAAAAGAATCAAACTTAGATTTTTACGAGGGACAAACTCCTATTTATTTGAATTGCGAACTTTGGATCTTTAAAAAACAAAAGAAAGAAATGATTTATTTGATAAATTGAAACATTAATATCATATATCACAATGAAAACTTTCAATCTTTTGTGTCTTAGCAAAAAAAAAAAAACTTATCTAAATAATTATGTTAAAGTAAATAATGAGATTAATTTTAAAAGTAATACACATTAAGTTTAGTGAATTACTTTAATGTATTTAGAATCTTAAACCTAGATTTGATTATACAAAATCATTTAAATAGAGTTTAATTTAAATAAATAGAAACATTGTTTAATGGATAATTTTACCCTTATGAGATATAATTATAATTATAATTTATTTAATAAATTAACAAAAAAATATTTTTATTAAAATTAAATAGTAACATATTTGTATCATATGTGATAAATTTGGGATAGATTTTTAATATATTGGTTTAAGATTTTTTTTATATGGCCACAATATATTAAAATTGTGATAGAAAAGTATAATAAAATTAGTAATAGATTTATATTTTATGATAGAATTTAACAAGAAATAGTGATAAAATTAATAGCAGTATTTTAAATGAGTGACAAAAAATTGTGAAAGATTTAATGATAATATATTAAAATTATGACAAATTATTATGTTAAAAATTTCAATATTATGATTAAATATTATGAGAAAACATTGTGGTAATTTTTAAATATTAATATTTTAAAAAACTAGAAAATTTTTAAATATTTAAAATATTTTTTGTATTAGAAGAATTGTATTTCAAATTTTGTGCAAGTATAAAAATTAAAATTTAAATTTCGTACAAATATAAATATTAAATTTTAAATTTAATATGAATATAAAAACCATTAGCATAATTTAACAATTGATGTCATTAATTTCAATTGTTACGTCGGTAAGTTAATGTTATATTAATAAAGTCAACAACCACATTAATATTTTAAAAATTAAAAATTAATGAAATTAGTGATTGAATTAAAATTATCAAATTAAAAAAAATAAGATAATTATATTTAATTAAATTATAATATAGAGATTAAATTTTTAATTTTTAATTTTTACATAATATCGGGACTTATGAAAGAAATGCAAATCCCTTGTAATGCATTTCCTTGTATCCGTTTATATACATATATGGTATGGGGTTAGTATCACTATCATAGAACTAGCCTCATATGAATATTTCTCGGAACCAAAATAAGATTTTGACACCGCCTAGACTTACACCACCGACTCCGCTGCCGATTCTCTCTCTTTCTCTCACTCTCACTCTCCATCCACAGTTAATATTTTAAGTTTCCTTCGAAACAGAGCAAACTTAACAATTCTTTTGAAGTTTACTTCTCCTTCGCCTCTGCTTCTTTGGTACGCTAATTCTCTCTCTATTCTCAATCCCTAATATTTCCATTAAATCTGCTTCTTTTCTGCAATATTGTTTTTTTTTTATCGATTTGGTTTTGCTTAATTGCTTGTTGGCTTCAGATCTGACTAATTGAATTTTTTTGTACTGTTTTTAAATGCAATCTGTCATTTTCAATCGGTTTGCTGATGTGAAGTGTTTAATTATCGGCTTTTTAAGTAAAATTTGGAATTATATTCGAATAAGCTATATAAACATATTTGTTGCTGACTCTTTTCTTTTAGGGTTTTGTGAAAACCGATTTTGAATTTTGAATTTTGAATTTGAATGTGTACAGTTAGCTAAATCGATTGATTGAGATGTTGCACAATTGCATTCACATGATTGATAATATAGTTTGGATTACGTTGGTAAGTAAGAAAGGGGATTTAAAAAAAAAAATTTATTGATGGATATGTATATCGGGCTATCTTAATTTCAGTGATTAATGTAGAGTGGAGATTTGTGGCAATTGTAGGCCAAGCTTGTTTTTTGGTTAGTTCTGCTGGCAGAAGCAAAATGGTATTGGAAGCAAAACACAAGAAGTGCCTTTATATATACAAAAACAAATATTAATAATACTTTTTGAATGGTTGAAAAGTGAAAACTAAAATTTTTAAAACAGCTAAAGGCATTTTTTTTTTTACTTTAATGTCGAGCAATCATAATTGAATGTGTTGGATTTAATTATTTGCTCTTTTTCAATCAAATATGATTTGTTTTTTCATTGTTTGCTTTTCCCTTTTTAGCAACACTTGTGGAAGCAAAAAGGGAACAACCAACCAGTGCCTGATGTTTTCTATTTTGAACTTGTTTAATTGACTGCAATGAAGTGATTTTTTACATGTCATTCATTTAATTCTTTTATTACCCAAAAAGTTGGTACCTTTAACCATTTTTATTTCTCATAAGTGATTGCTTTTGAATGTGTGGTGTGGCATTTATTAATATGGAGTGTTTTTCCATCTATTGGGTTATGATCTTTCCAAATAAAAGATGCTGTGAATGCAAGAAAATGAATTCCTTATGGTCATAGAAGTTTTAATAGACATAAGCTGCTTCTTATTCTTTTGGTTGCTTGGACTTCGAATTCTTTGTACTCGATCCTTATTTTTTTTTTATCATGTTGCCTTGCTGATCTTGTGAGGTGATCGCATGTTTATTCCAAGAAGATGTCTCACATTGATATAACATGCATGTGCTATTGGATATTTTTGTGTTGATGTTTATTTGCTGAAAAAATGCAGCTTACAGTATGCCAGAAGACGTAGAATACCGCTGTTTTATTGGTAACCTTTCATGGACAACGTCAGATAGGGACCTAAAAGATGCATTTGAAAAGTTTGGGAATCTTCTTGAGGCTAAGGTAAAACTCTCTTTTCATGAAATCTCTTATCTTATTCATTTTTTCTTTAAATACTTGACTTCACTGATTATGCGTTATTGAATTTGATCCTGGTCAAGACATTTTGTTTCTTTCATCCTATCTTTTACACAAGATAATAGTTTTCATTAGTTCGTAAGCTTTTTCAGTGTCTTTGTTTTCACTTCCATTCTGCCACCTCCTGTCCTTGAATGCGTGACCTATCTCCCTTTCGAAAATTATTCTTCTACCTCCAGGTGTCAATTTATTCTCCAATTTAGAGTGAAGGCAATGCAAAACCTGAAAGATTTAAATACTTTGATGAAAATTATTTGTTTTATGTAACAAAACTAGTAATTGTGATAGCCCTGTTTGTTATAAGCATTATAACTGATAAACTATTATGGAACTTTACTGTCTTTTAATGCGTTATGGCATTAATTTTTCTGGTTCTGGCCTGCACTTCTAACTATATTTTATTATTTTTTAATTAATCATGAAAAAGATTTGACTGAACTTTCATTTGATTCAGGTTGCTGTTGACAAGTTTTCTGGCCGTTCTCGTGGATTTGGATTTGTTACTTTTGATGATAAAATGGCAATGGAAGAAGCTATTGAAGCAATGAACGGAATGGATTTGGATGGGCGGAATATAACTGTTGATAGAGCTAAGCCTCATCAAGGGTCAGGGAGAGATTATGATGGTGATCATAACCGTGATCGTGGACGTGATCATGACCGTGATCGTAACAGGGGGTATGATAGTGGGCATCGACCTAATGGTGGTGAGTGTTATAAGTGTGGGAAACCTGGACACTTTGCTAGGGAGTGTCCTGGTGATGGGGGTAGGGGGGGCAAGTATGGTGGTAGGGGCGATCATTATGGTGGAGGTGGTGGTGGTGGCAGTGGCAGTGGTCGTTACGGTCCTGATCGGAATGGAGATCGATTTGGTGGGCGCAGCAGGGATGCAGGTATTCGCGGGGGGCTTGGAAGTGATAGATACAATCGTGATCGTTCTGGACCATATGAACGTCGTGGAACTGGAGGTCCTCGTTCTGGATAAGATGATTGTGCGTGGTAATGCGTAATTTACTTGTATTCATTTTGCTTGCTACTTTCTTCTCTTTTTCTATTTTGAATTTAAACTTATGAGTATCGTTGTACTGATGGAAGTGTATTTTGATTGCGGCTGACAAACTAGGATTGCTGCTTTTATGCTCTCGATGATTTTTTTTTTTTTTTTGCTGGATGTGATTTCTTCATTGTTGGGGTGGAACAATATAATAGTTCAGTCCTTTGAAGAATGAAACGTGGCATGAATCTACGACTATTTATGTGTTCCTAAAATGCTGTGTTCAATGTTTTGGTCCGATGGAATCTTGTGCTTTCTTGAAATGCTCTTTCAAACATGGTCTTGTGCTCTCTGAATGCTCCATTTTTTGTGACTCATGCATTGTCAACAGCAATTGCCATTACTTCTGTCAGACTTCTCATTGACTTTTTTGAATGCCCAATTATGGAAGATGGTTTGGTCTTTGCATGGGTATATGGAAGGATGATGGGAGGGGCCCACCATTTGGGTTTTTGCTTCTCACTTGAGGAGTTGAATCATTCTTTTAAGTAAATGCCCAATTTGGCTGCCCTGTTTTCAGTATGTTAAGAAATAAACAGGAGTCAAGCGGGTAATTTATTTTTCTTACATATTGCTTTGCTCTATGCTAGTTCTTTTTGTGCAGTATTAATACTGTTGACCTTTTGGCAGGATGCTTGGCTGTTTCTGGCCTTTATGGATACTTGATTGGGTTTCTTTGTTGCAAATTGGCCATGGTTTTATAAACTTTAAAATTGTGAGTTTTTTTGGGCGAAACAAGGGTTCTGCATACTAACTGAATATAAGGACACCCCATGTTCTTCATGGCGCACTGATGGAAGAGTTCCATTTCCTCTAAACACATGGCAGGTTGTTTGGAAGCTCTTTGAGGAGTTCAGCAACTTGTATTATTTCGTTCCCATGAGTCTATACTGTGTTGCTCTGTCTGGGTGCAGATTGCTGTTCTTGCCTTGTTTGTGTATTGGGCTGTAGTGTCATGATCTTTTTGGCTAAAATTCAGAAAAGTGGTTAATATAGTTCTTTCAGCTCAGATTGTGCTTTGCAAGACGTTTTTGGTTCCTATTTTCCAAACTCTTCAACTTTGAGGGTTGGTCTGCCTCTGGCCATGTAGGAGATTGATGCTACCTTAGCTCTTTCTGAAATATCACCGAAAGGAAACTGCTTTTCAGTTCTTCTCCTAGTTCTGGATTTGTTGTTTTCTTTTTTCCAACTTCAACTTGGAAGTCTTGACCCTTCGTCCTTTAATTATTGGAGTGCACTATAGGCATGATGGAATAGTTTTGTGATTTACCTGTATTGCTGCTTGCATGCTTGAATTGTTTGTTGAGTTTGTTTTTTGGATTTTGTTTATAGGCACGATAGAATATTTTTGTGGTTTACCTGCATTGCTGCCTACATGCTTGAATTGTTTGTTGAGTTTGTTTTTTGGATTTTGCTTACATGCTTGCTTTTGTGATAGGGCCTGCTTGTTTGATTGGTATGAATAATGATAATTAATTTGAATCACTGTATATTATGTGTAAATGGATATTCATTTTAATATCCCATCAAAGGGATACATAGAAAGCAATAGAAAATTTCAAGTTCTTGTATTCAAGTTAGATGAGGAAGATGCTATATGTACTCTTCATCTTCTTCTAGGCTGCCAGATGTTAGTTATGTTAATATAGGCTTGCATATGTAGCATTTAGCTTTTCTTTAGGATCCAAAGTGATTGGTCCAGCTGGCCTTTTTTCTATAAATAGTAGTAGGACCTGAATGGCTTCTCTGCAAAGCTCAAGCTATGTACTTGTCATAATGTTAAGAAATTAGGATTCGTTTTAAATATTTAGATAGATAATTGAAAAATTGGATGTCACATTAGTTTATGCTGTGAAGACTGAAAGTGTGAGTACATACATCAAAGCCAACAGTCCCTCCCATTTATTTTTTCTCTTCCATGCATTTTTAATCCTGGAAAATAAAGAAGCTAGCATTCTCTACCCTGGTAGTAACCAACCTTTTTCACCTGCATGACATTTCATTGTTATATATAAGTAGCTGGGTGCTTTTGTCCCAAGACATTTATATTGTAGACTTGAATCTTCTTCAAATACAGGCATAAAATAGCCAGAATTCCAAGTTACCGCCCAACTGATTTGGCAGCTGCTGTTTCTCTGTCTTTTCACCATCTAATTGTACTCTGCCTCCCATTTTCGTCTCTTTGTTCGTTCGAGTCTCGTTGCTTTACTACAGGCCTCTGCTACTAGCCCTGCAAAACTATTACTTGCCAGCATTTCTTTCAAGTGTTCCCTGAGGTTTGTTTCAGTAGATGTGAACTCATCATCATCTCCAGGTTCTTGGTAGTGACTTTTCTTACAATAATCCGCAGTTCTGAAGAAGTTTTCTACATCATTGGGTGACGATGGTTGGTGAGCAGTTGATGCCATATGCATGAATTGGAAAAGTTAAAAGAATGTGAAGGGGAAGAAGAAATTGAGAACGGATGCTTGTGGAAGACACGAGCAATGAATCTTTGGAGGGTATTTATAGAATGAGATTTATCATTCATTATTTTGTCTTCAGTCGTGTTATAGCCTTTAAGGTGAGGATACCGTGGAAGAAACGTTAGCCCTTCAAACTTGCATTTTATTTAATATATATGAGTATAATTTTTGGTTTTGCCACTAATTTTTTAGGCTGCTATTGCTTTGGGTTTAGTCTGATTCTACCAGAATTTGCTTTTGGTTGCCCTAAGTATGTCTTGAAGTGTAGGTCCAATAGCTTTTTGCTAGTAAGAGGAGTCCCACAAAATTGAAATTGTTTGGCAAAATCACTTCCAAATTCTTCAAACATTCTTGCTTATGCTTAAACTCTTTCAATATTTAACATTTGCATAAATCTATATAGCATACATATTTGTGTATATATAATTTTCCTTGATAATTTGATTTTGTCAAGATTAAATGATGTTGGCGTATTTCATAAATGTCATCTTTACAAACCTCTGCCAACTTTTGTCAAATGAAATGAATTATTCAATTCAAGAAGACTGGGTGATGAATAATGGAATAATGGAACACTGCTGCACTTAACAGAGAAAGAGTTTGCGCAGCTTATGCTGTGGAGGTCGTAGGAGTGCGCTTTTAACAAAAGAACAGGTTTTTCATTTTGTAAGCCTTAGTGTTAGGTATGATTTGTGGATTATAGTAAAATATTTAATATAATATTAAATTTTAAAAATATTTAGTTTAATATTTAAATTATAAATTTGTTAATTAATATAATATTAATTTTTAACATTGTTAGCTATCAATGATGATATATGGTTGATGAATAATTTTTTAAATATCATATTAATTAATAAATTTGTAACTTAAATATTATATTAAAAAATTTTAAAATTTAAGTATTATATTAAATGTTTATTATATTTTATGATTATTTATGATATTATTTTTTATTTATCAGTGAGAGAAGTACTCTAACCAGATAAAGGTCACTTGATCTTGACCAGCATAGCTAGGTGTTACACATGATCTGCTTAGTTATAAACTGTTACAAACAACAAATATATGTGGGTTTAACCAATTTTTATTGAAAAACATCTCAAGTCATCAATTAAAAGTATAACACATAAACTACCAAAAAGAAGCTAACTGATGAATAGGAAGGCATTAAAAATTGAAATGGGAAGTAAATTTTATTTTATGATTATGAAATTTAATCAAGTTAACATATGTCTGCAGCATATCTTACGTACTAATTATAAATTATCAAGAGTGTGCATTCCACACGAAAGTTACGTGAAGGACATGGCTACTAAAAACTTGGGCCATTACTTTACATCTTAGCCTCTAATGGCACTATAAACTTGGGTTGGATCACTTCTCAGCAGCTAGCTATCAATGATAATCTTTCCTCTCATGAGTTTAGCTCATTAATCATTATTGATAATTCTTGGGTAATTTAACATTGGAAAATCAATCACCAAAACTCCAAAAAAAAAAAAAAAGCTTTTTTTAAATGGAAAAAAATTGGAGAACGAATTTTAATAAGTTTAGATTTTAGGTTTGACTATTTTTACTAATGGCATAATGTACCATTTAATTAAATTATTGTTTATAGCAATCTTTTATATTAAATACAATACTTATTTAATTCAAAAAAATACAGTACTTACTAATTAATTTGACGAATTTTAATGCATTGAAAATTGTAACTTATTTCTAAGTATGATAAGCTTAAAGGATGCTCCTAAGCATTCCTTCGCAAAATTCTAATTTTAATTGGTGGCGGCGGGAGTTATAGATGGAAATTACATTATATTCTTTTGCTAATGTGCTATTCAAGGTCGCATTGGTTTTAATTATGCCATATATAAGAAAGTAATAATTGGAGAAAAAAAAAAGGTGGTGATCAAACCAATTGTCAATTAATTTGGCAGCCTCTAACTCTATCTTTTTCTCTCTTTGCAGAGAGATGGATCAAATTGTGAATAATTGAACTGTACTTGTTGAGTTAATACTGCAGAAGTTGCAAAAGGAGGAATTAGGAGAGGGAAGGCATACAGAGTTTACTTTTGAAGGAGAGGAAGATGAGGGAAGAGATACTGGATTTACAACTAGAAATCAATGACCAAGAGTGCATAGGCCTCGGTTACAGTTGCGGTTGATTATAACTTTTTTTTTTTTTTTTTATCAAAATTTAATGTTAAATTATAAAAATTTTTTACTTTTCAATCTAAAAATCTGACTTTCTTTCATTTTTAAGTACACCTCACAATTCATGTTTCTATTTCGTGTCTATGTCGTGTTTAACACATATAATAAAATGAATTATTAAAACATGAATACGACATAAATTATAAAATATATTTAAATATTAAATACGAATACGACATGTTTAATAAATGCGTTACACGTAATACGATATGATTAACATGTGTATTATTTAATTCGTTTAAACACGACATAAATAAACACAAATAATACGAATATACATGAATAGATATTACTAATATAAATATACATGAATAGACATGCCTAAAACAAATATATACAAGAACACGACTAAAGTAATAAATAATTATAAACTACAATTATTTACAATTTAATAAATTTAACATATTAATAATATTAAAAAGTACTTACATATTAAAAAAATAAAAAAATTTAATACTCATTTAATATGTATTTAATATATATATTTAAATTTTAATTTACATAACAAAATTATATTAATTTTTAATATCAAATTTAAAATTATAAACTATTAAAGATTAAAGAATAAAATAATAATGTACATGACTAATATTAATATTTATATTGTATTTGTATTATTAAAACAAATATATACAAGAACACGACTAAAGTAATAAATAATTATAAACTACAATTATTTACAATTTAATAAATTTAACATATTAATAATATTAAAAAGTACTTACATATTAAAAAAATAAAAAATTTAATACTCATTTAATATGTATTTAATATATATATTTAAATTTTAATTTACATAACAAAATTATATTAATTTTTAATATCAAATTTAAAATTATAAACTATTAAAGATTAAAGAATAAAATAATAATGTACATGACTAATATTAATATTTATATTGTATTTGTATTATTAAAAATTTTATAATAATTATTAAATGAATATCATAATTAAATGTTTAAAATAATTTTTATATGAAATTAAATAGCAAATTAAGTATCATAATTAAAAGATTAAAAATTAAAATAATCTTTATATGTTTATATTAAATTAAAATAAATATAAAAAATATATTAAACGTGTTAAACATATTAAACGTGTATTCATATGATTAAATTAAATTAAATGTGTTATTCATGTCGTATCACATATTTAGACAAGTAAATACATATACAACATGAATTGAGTCATGTTGAAATTCATGTCGACACGAAAAAATATAAAATATATATTTTTAAAATACATATAATTTTTTTCATATCATTTTCGTGTTGTATCACCATATCATATTTGAAATTACCAAATCTATTTTTTGTGGTGAAAAGTATGTTTGAAATAGAAAATCATTTTATTATCCTTATATTTATAATATTTTATTATTTTATACATATATTTTTAGGTAATTTAATTACTCATAATATTTTTTTACAACTATACCAAACACTTAAAATTTTTAACCATATTCCTCTCATCACATTTTTTAAGTGCATTTTTTTAACTCAAATTTTTTACAATCACAACAATAATGTTAAACTAATTCTTAATCTACAAGCTTGTTTCAAGGCAAATTATTATAAGAAGAGAAAATTGATGATGATGGAGTTCTAAGTATATATAATCTTTTCTGTTATATATATATATATGTATATAAAACACTACAAGGGTTTAAGTTTTTAGTGGCATTTTTTTTTAACATTTAGCGATGTTTATAAACACCGCTAAAAGATTTGTGGCCTTTGCCAAAAATGTCACTTAGAGTGCCCACTATACACGCGTCACAAAAAAAAGCGACGTTTTAAAAAAAACACTGCCATTTTATTGGCGTTTCTGTCTTTGAAACGCTGTTAAATTATTTGCTTTTTTATGAAAAAAACGTCATTTCTTTGGTGACATTTGTAACTGAAAACGTCACTACTTTGGAGGCGTTTGTATCTAAAAATGCCTTTATATTAGTGGTGTTGTATCTTTGAGATGCCGTTAATTTAATGGCATTTTTATGAAAAAAAAACCATTGCTTTGGTGGCATTTGTAACTGAAAACGTCGCTACTTTAAAGGTGTTTATATATGAAAACACTTCTATATTAGCGACGTTTGTATATTTGAGAGGCCGCTAATTTAATGGCATTTTTATGAGAAAAATGCCGTTGCTTTGGTGCCGTTTGTATAAAAAATGTCACTTACTAGTGGCGTTTACTGGTAAGAGTGCCGTTACTTTTAATCATGTTTTACGATACAAACGTAACTAAATTATTCATTTAGCAACATTGTTGAACGCAAATGCTGCCATTATGTACAAATGTATTTTTTAAAATTTTTGTTAATAAATTTTAATTTCATTAAATAGTTTAAATTCAGAAACTGAAATTAATATAAACTTAATTCACATT